CACACACACACACACACACACACAGATTTCCCATGAGACACCTGACACATGCAGCTGCCTGTAGCTCTGACATGTTCATACATGTCATTCCGACATGTTTCGGACAAAACACACACACACACAGGCTTACTCAGGCCACTTTCGGGGACATCTGAAGGCCGTTTCAGGGGGAAAAGTGACGAATAAACACGGAAATACAAAATATTTGGCTGCCATAATTTCTCATCAAAACTATTTATACCGGCAGAGATTGCAACACTTTTAAAATGAAAAGGTTTGAATAGATGAAGAGGACCAACAACCAGGATCGCTGTATTGAAGAAGACTTGAAACTAGAGATTGAGACCATAAACTCATGTTTACAATGTTTACTGAGGTAATAAATCAAGAGAGAAGTAGAGTCATTTTCTCATAGACTTCTATACAACCAGAGGAGTCGCCCCCTGGTGGACATTAGAGAGAATGCAGCTTTAACACATGAAGCTTTGGATTTACTCTTCAGAACCGGAGGTTGCCGCCTGGTTCAGACTACAGAGCCCCTGTGTTGTTTTATATTATAGTGAATGTTATGATTATGTCCATTTCACACGACCTGATTGGTTGATGCTTTAATTCGCGTTGTGAAAGCTAAATAAACAACAACTTTGCTGCGTAATATTCATGTTCTGTGTGAAAGTACTCATGACAAAAACTGCAGTTTGAATAACATAAACTGATGTGTAAAGGCCTTAACCTTAACCTATGACCCAAAATCCCCTTTTCTCCCCCATTTGACAAAAGCAAACAAACTGATGTCTCCTGTTTGACATTTAATATATCAGAGCAGCGTTTGACGATGTGACCCCGGAATGGACGGATTGTGTCTTTTGATTAGATCATTTATAATTACACAACATCGTTAAAAGAAGTTAACGAGTGAGGACGAGCTGTGCCAGTACGAGTTGAATTAACGAGAAGCAGCAGGGGGTCAAATCCTGGCCGAAAACACTAATGAGCTTGTTGAATAAACTGCAACCTAATTAAGGACTCTGTGTGTGTGTGTGTGTGTGTGTGTGTGTGTGTGTGTGTGTGTGTGTGAGATTGGTTTGTTCATTTGTTTTGGAGGAGAAGCAATGACCTTTAAGGTTTCATATGTGTTCGTTATTTTAGATCATTTCTACATCATGTGAAAATGAATCACAGTAACACTGCACACACAAATAGTAGTAGAAGTACAAGTATAGTAGTATAGCAGTACTGTTTAAGCATTACCTCGCGTGGTTAATTGCTTTTTTCCCCCAAGAGTTAGGCGAGATGAAGATTCGTAAAACCCTGATGTTGTGTGTCAAGTACTGAACTGGAGCTAGGAGGCGATTAGCTTAGCTTAGCATAAAGACTGGAAGCAGGGGGAAACAGCTAGCCTAGCTCTGGCTGCACAAAAACAAAAAGCATAATTTTGTAGTTTCCATTATGCAAAAGTTACAATGTTATCACCCTGAAACCATTAACGGTCATATAGGTGGGGAAACCATGCTTCCAGTCTTTATGCTAAGCTAAGTGTGCTAAGTCAGGTTTAGGAAAAGATGGTGGTTTGGGTTACCGAAGTATGCAAGTTATGTGAGAAATACATCGGAGCTGATTTTGCGTTTCATTAAATGGGGAAAAACAACGGTCTCCTGGATTAAAGGTCGATGTTTGTCGGATCCGTCAACCTCCCCGTGTGGCTTGTGCGTTCTTTACACTTCCTGGTTCATGATTACATGAATATCCTATGAAATTGTTTTGTGGGATACCCACGAATTACGGCGCATAACTTTTTAGCTATGAACGCTGGATGCGAACAGCCTGATCAGAGTAACAGGTCACATTCTCGTTATGCAGATGAAGTCGTAGTGAACACGAGTCGTCCCTCCGTTAGCAGGCTGGACTTGAGGAGCTGCAGGGGCTGCTGGGAGTTTGACAGCTCTTGAGTTGGTGGTCGTGGCTGAGGCAGCAAGGGCTGCTGGGAGCTGCTGGTGCTCGTGGAACGATGCCTGAGCCGCCAGCAGCGCTCCTCCACTCTCTTCTTCTTCTGCGTTGGACACAAGCTGACCCCCCCTCCCAACACACACTCACACACACGCTCGGCCAGCCGTGCTTTTGTCTGGCGTGTCCACATACATCTGTCATGCATGGCGGCGTTGGCACCGACAGTCTGCTATTGTTGCCCCCCCACACAAACCCCCCCCCCCCCCCCCCCTTCAGCAGGAGACGCAGCCACAGTTTGGGGTAATTTCTGGTCCTAATTACTTCACACACACACACACACACACATATATATGCCAAAAATACTGATTAAATGCCCAAATCCTGTTAAAGGGAAGCTTCACTAAAACAATGTAATGTGAATATTCTAACGCGTCATTGTTCATTTCTGAATGACAGCTTTATCTCGTCATTCTGTATTTAACGGTATATTATATTATGATAAAGCACAATAAGCTTTTATACTCTACAGAGGAAAACAAAGCAGCGGTTTAAAGGTTTATATTTTTATGGAATAATGGTGAAAATATAAACACTGATTCGTACAGGAGGTTTATTTTAATTATATAATTAAAGACGTACCGCCTCCGCCAACCTGTCAAGTTGTAGTTTACATCCATGAGAGGCTGGAAGTAGAGGATGTTAAAATGTAAATAGTTTAATATTTATAACACGTAGAGCCTAATGTTTTTTTCCCAACATTAGTAACACTTGTGGGCACTTGGAAACATGTTGGATATATAGATTCCAGTGTAAGCCATGACTGTGCTGTTTCCATAGAGGTGCAGGACTTTACTACAGGCTACCGGGTTTAAAAAGTGATGCATTTGTGGGCTCTTGGAAATCCAAACATTACTACGTTCTGCTTAATGCTAAACAAAGCATTTCCTGTGAAGGAATTTGGGAAGATAATCAGAAAATGCTTTGTTTACACTTAGCTAGTTCTGCACAGGGATTGTTCTGAAAGTTTTTATTAACACCTTAACGACCAAAGAGAGCCTGGAGGGAGGTGAGTTTTTGGGTGAACTATTCCTTTAACACGATAGAACTATGTTTCTATGAGCAGGTCCTCATTTCATTGGTTCTCGTGCATTCTACTGATATAAAGGCAGAAGAAGAAGAAGAAGAAGAAGAAGAAGAAGACAGGTACACGGATGTAAACGATGCAACACTTCTCAAGCTGAGCTGCTGTTCCTGTTACTTTAAGCTGCAGGCTGTTGTCATGGACGCTGTAACCCGATAGTAATCAGGGCTTCGTAGAGGGAATACAAGCGAGCGCCTCTACTCGAAATAATCACCGGAGCGGGGCCTCGTTGGCTCCCAGGAGCCCCGACACACCTTCTCATCCCTGATTTAAACCCTGCTCATTATCACTGACAAAATACATCAGCAGGTCTGAGATTCAGGGAAGCAACTCTCCTCCTCTCCTTCATGCTGAGAAACCTCGTCAGCTCTTTTGCTTGTTTTTGTCGCGTTGCTCTGCAGACATTCAGGAGCCTGAGCTGACCTCTGACCTCCTCACCACCGGTCATGTTTCTTAGATTGTTTGTCTCTTCAGAAATGACTAAAATCAAACTTCTTCACCGTTTTCTGTTATGTACTCTGTCACGTACTTTCAGTCTGAGGATGAACGGACTTTGTTTTGTTTATTGTCCACAACATGATGAGTGATTCTGCTGATTTCAAAGAGGTTCTAAAATGTAATAAAAACACAATCAAAGCAACAATATTAAAGTGGCAACACACAAAAACAACAGTTTAACGAACAGACAACACACAACAAGAGTAAAAACATACAGATGTTCTTTATTGTCACTTAAAAAATTATCAATTAGCTTCAATATCGATCAAATCATTCTTAAACACAATCAAAGACCGAATGTTAGAATTATTCCAGTCAGAGGAGCCTTAAACATAAATGCTTGTTTCCAATATATTTTCTAACCTCTATGAATAAAGATGATACGTTGAAGTGAAAGATATACAACAAAAAAACAGTTTTCATTTTATTTTAACTATAAGTGGACTCTCTTTCTGTCTGTAACAAACGCAGATTAAAGTGTCTCCATAACTTTGTGCAGCAATGTTTGACACACTGAGTGAAGTCAGAGGATCCTTTCTCTAAACCACAGCGCCACCTACAGTTAGAAACAGAGCGTTTCTTCACCGAGTTTATTTAAACATGCAAACAAGTTTAACCTTTTCCCTTTTTGTCACATTCCCTCAGCCTGAATGTCCCCCAGGAGCCTGGAGGCCCTCATGTTGTCCTATTTCTGTAATGTAGAATATTTGTAACCCATCATGGGTGGATTATGAGACGACGGGCCTCTGGACAGACAGAAGGCCTCTTTTTGTAGTTGTTCCGTGTCTCTTTGTAGTTCCGTTGTGTCCTTTTGTGTCTCTCTGTCGTTGTTTTGCTTCTCTTTATAGTTTTTTGCATCACTTTGTGTCCTTTTGTGTCTCTTTGTATTCGTTTTATGTTTCTTTCTGGTCAATTAGAGTCTCTTCCTGGTTGGTTTGTGTCTCTTTGAGTGACATTTTATAGGTGAAAGTCAGGGGGGCCTCTGACACTTTGGGCCCCAGGGCTTGTGTCCGGTTGTTCAGTAATCCATCCATGATACACACTCTCTCCAGAGGCGTAGCTATAGAAGTACCAGCAGGTGGCAGTAAAAGACCAGGAATACTAAACAGTCCCCTCCGGGAAGTGTTCACGGTTTACTGAGCAAGCTCAGTTCAACCCAAACTGAGCTTGTTGCTGGATGTGTGTAAATGTTTAACTGAAGTGTTTGTGCTCAGACTTTAGTCCCTCAGGAGCCTCGGACTCGTGCAGAATGGTGAGTTTTCACTTCATTACATTTGAACACAACTGAACTTAAAGCAGATAAACAGAAACAACTCTTGTTAGATTTCCACTTGTTGAAATGTAGTTGTGCAGGTTTGTTTCGTCCAGATTGAGAAAGTAAAGAAAGACTTCAGGTTTTCATTAAAAGGTTTCATGTTTGCAGCACAAAGTGATCTCTCTACTGTCTCTCCTCTCTCTACTGTCGGCAAAAGAAACACACACAATGAGCCTCTGCTTTGAGAGATGAAGAAGAATCCACATGTTTGGATAAAAGCAACACTGAAAACTAAACTAAACTGAATTACTCTCATCTGTCTCATGAGACGTTTCAGCTACCTGCACTGCTGCATAATAAGAGTCATGACATAATAAATTAAACCCTGTTCAGTTAACACTTGCAGGCCATTTATAAAATAAATAATTGAGATTCAGCCTCTTCTCTTGATGTTTAGAGGGTTTGAAACGGCTGCGTCTCTACAGTCCTAAAGGTTTTCCTGAGTCTTCTGTCACCTCCATTACTTCTTATTGTTTAAGAATCACTACGTCTTCTTACATACAATAATCCTTTATATCTATTTCAAGCAGATTTTATTGGAAAGCTGGATCTAATGGGACTTTTAAAAGATCAAATGTGGTGATTTATTAAAGCTGATTATTAAAGTTAGTTCACACTTTGACTCGTCAACGTGTTCGAGTAAATAAATGCAAAGTAAAGTCATGTTAGCTCCGCCTCTCTGCATCACTGAGCTCCATTAGTGTTCGGTCACGTGACCCCCCTCCTGCAGGGGTCAGAGGTCACGCTTGTGTTTGGTTAAACACGGTGATCCTGTTAAAGCTCTGAATGGACCACACACACCGACTTGTGTTTAAAGTTATACCACACTGTGAATATAGGCTGATGTAAAAGTACGTAAGTATTATCAGCTAAAAGTACTTAAAGTAAAAGTACTGATGTTTTACTGGTGTTATACTATTACATCTGATGTTTCTGCTGCATTAATGTGAATGTATTATGTAATGTGTTTTGAATCCTGTTGTCTAGTTGAATCTACAACAATGCATCGTATTCTATAAGATCATTTTATGTAATAAATAATAAGATGTGCTCCATGTTTGTGTTATGAGTTAATGATGGACATCAAAGCACCTGATAAATGATAAATATATACAAACAGTCAACTTATCTGAAAGAGGCTTTTTACTATGATAGTTTTTAAATATTATAGGGCCAATGTGTGTTTATTTATAAATAAACATACTCCTTATTTTATTTGACAAAATGAACAAAGAACCAAAACATGTTTATTTTTAAGAATGATGTGACTGATATGAAAATAACTGCAACACAATAAACAGAAAAAGGGACAAAGAAACAAATATAAAGAAAGAACAATAAATTTGCAGGAATTAACGTATTTTTTTTCTCCCAGAGTTCAGCAGCAGCAGCAGGAGGAGGAGGAGGAGGAGGAGGAGGAGGAGGAGGAGGGGGGTCGGGCCTGCAGGTCCATGCGGTCCGGTTCGGTCCAGGTCAGGAGCTGCTGGGTTCTCTGCAGGCGTTCGTGGAGGAGAAGCGACTCCGAGCTCCGTTCATCATCACCTGCGTGGGCAGCGTCACCAAAGCAACGCTCCGGCTGGCCGACGCCACGGCTACAAATCCAAATGAGGTACCAGAGGTTCATCCTCAGGAGGCCAGCTTCATCTCTCTGCTTTGTTTCTTTGTGATTCTTGTGTTTTAAAGTATAAAGCCGACAGGAACCCAAAGCATCAACAAATGACACGAGCGTCTATTAAAATGTTCAAAACTTTGGTGATAATTACTCAAAACTATTTTCATAAAAAGTATAGTTTCACTCTTTATACACATCATTTCTTTTTACTTTTTATTTAAAGTCTATTTATTTCATTGTGAACCACTGAATATCACTGAACACATTAATAATATATTAAAATAAGTTTGCTTGTTTTATGTAGAAAAAATAATAAAATCTGGTCTACAGCAGTTTATTTTAATTTAATTTATTTTTCAATTCCCTCCCATCTTTTGAATGATTCATTATCAAATTAGGAAATCACATCGAGTTAAACTTACGAATATGAAGAACATAAACTGTACGCAGTGGTGGAAGAAGTCTTTAGTAGCAATATAACACTTTACAAATACTCTGTTACAAGTAGAAGTCCTGTATTCACATTTTAGCAAAGTATAAAAATGTTTGCAACAAAAAGGAAACTGTCACTGTTCATAAAGTAACGATATAAATAAAGTTATGTGACTAAATAAAGTTATACGAATGTAAATAAAGTGATGTAATTGTACATATAAAGTTATGTAACAATAAAAATAAAGTTGTGTTAAATAAACCTGAGGCTCCCCTCGTTCCCTCAGGTGATCCACCTCAGCGGACGGTTCGAGATCGTCTCGCTGGTCGGCACTCTAAACCGGGACGCCCACGTCCACGTCTGCCTGTCGGACAGGGAGGGCCGGACGGTCGGGGGTCACGTGTTCGGAGACCTGGAGGTCTTCACCACGGCCGAGGTGGTCGTCGGCGAGGCGGTCGACCTGCAGTTCACCAGAGAGATGGACGAGAAGACCGGCTTCCCCGAGCTCGTGGTTCAACCGCACAAATCTGACAGTTGAGGGACTAACAACAGGTTCACCAGATACAGCTGCTGTCGTTTATTATGAGAAGAAGATTACATTCATATCATCTTATAAAAGGTATCCACTGAACAGACCGACCGTGATGTATAAGTACTCCACTACAAGTAGAAGTCTTTTAAAATCATACTTACATCAACGTGTTATATTTAAAACTTACATATCGAAAGTAAAAGTACGTGTTGTGCTAGTTTTAACACAGTGAAGCGGTAGTTTAGGTTTTAGGGGTCGTGAGATGATTAATTGGAGAAGAACGAATTGTATTAATATTTCTGTAATCTTTGAATTTAGATTGAAAGCTGTGAATTGGAATAACTGAAGGTTTTTTAAGGAAGTTAAGATGCTGAAGTATGTTGATGCTCGAGGCGAGAGGTAATTGAACAGAAGTCCCAACAAAAGCAAAATTCATGAGAAAAATAAAACCTCAACCTGTCCGGGGCTAAGTTTACCTGCTCTGATTGTTTTTAAATAAAAGTATTCTAAGTGGGCATCTGTTTTATCCAAGAGTAATGTTTACATGCACGTGAGTTTATTCAAATATAAATGAAGTTCCTCAGAAATCCTCTGAGATTCCTGCAGAATTTATCAATAACTTCTGCACAACTGTCTGAAATACGTGACCCATCTACGTGATATCGGTGAGGTGAGGTGCCCGCGCAGCGCTAAAAGGCTGCTGAAAGACTAGAGACACAGAAGTATCAGCTGTTGCACCACCAGACTACAGCTGCAGCATTTAGTTTTTCTTGTGTAGCATTAAGGAACTACAACTCAGATTTCGTTGTGCGACCGAATACTGTATTTTACGTATTGCAGAACATATTTTCTGAATCAGCTGTGGTTAATATTCATGGTAGAAGTGCACAAAGTAAAGGTCTCTCTCTCTCTCTCTCTCTCTCTCTCTCTCTCTCTCTCTCTCTCTC